AAAGAAAGAAAATAATTTCATGAATAAATATTGTAATACCATTACATAACAATGTTTGCACCTAGAATAAGAAGTTATTTTTAAAGACTTTGTATTTGAAAAAAAAGTAATGAACACTTGCCTTAAAGCACGACTGAGTTTCTCATAGTTCATCGTAGGCTTATTTTTACGTTGTCCCCATTTTTGTGCAACCAGTTCAGGCTGATTTAGCTTAAACTCGCCTTCATCTCCAACCCAAGAAATACAGTCTCGAGCATCCTTGTCGGTAAGAAGTTCTAGCAAAAACTGCCATAGTTGGATTTGGCCATTGTTTCCTAAATTGACAGGAAGAATAAGAACTGGCTACAGTGTTATAAATTAACACAGGGAGGGCAAAGACAACACACAGGTCTCCTGGTTCAAATCTCAGCCATGGCCAAAAGAAATTTCCTTCCTTGTGGTCTAATACTTACACTGCCAGAGGAATAGTCTATATGCACTTTTTCATACTCTTTATTTCAGTGAAATAAAGTAGACCTAAATTGACAAATTTTATAAATACAACATAATGCAAAAATACCTGTCCTGTTCCCGGGTGAGCTTCTGTCTTCTCCTGAGATCCTTGGAGCTCTTTGTACTTTAGCTGCCTTTGCACTACTATTTATAACTTTTATGGTACTTGGTGTAGCAGACTGGACTGATGCTGGAATAATTTGCACAGCTGCAAAGACAGACAAGGAGAAAATTTTTTTTCTTCCAGTACAAGCAGTGGAAAAAAAAACAACACCAAAAAGATTAAATGCAATCAGTTTAACCAATACGCCTTTAATTACCCCACAGAAGGACGTCATTAGGATGGGTGTGGTGGCTCACGCCTATAATCCTAACATTTTGGGAGGCTGAGGTAAGAAGATTACCTTGGGGACAGGAGTTTGAGGAAAGGCCTCATTATAAAAAAGTCTTAGTCCACAATGGTTTTAAACAAAATCACAAAAATGATTACAGGATAAAGTACAATGTTTGCATTATGGTTTATGAATCATAACTTACTGAATAGGAGTTGGTATTCTTATTTTGAAATAACTTAATAGTGCATATGCAAGAGACAAGGGAATATTAAAAATCTTTTTAAAAACGGTTTATCAAACTTTGGAGAAAATGAGGACAAATGAAAGCTCACATGCCACTAGTGTTAAGAGTATAAGCTCATAACATCACTTTGAGAAAAATTGTGGCAATACCTAAGAGTAAAAGGTAGAAACCCTATGATACTAAAACCAGAGAATCTTACACATGTTCTCACAACTCATTCAATGATGTTCATAGCACTTTTACATACTTATACAGTGGTAAAAATGAATGAAATTGAGTTGTAAGTATCAACATCGGTAAGTTTCTAAATGTTTAACAAACAAGAAGTTATAAAGGAATATGTATGATATGTTATCATTCTATCCAAAATGTTTAAACATGTACAAAACAACGCTAGAAAGTATTTATGGTTACGTAGTTGGTAAAAATATAAAACACGCAAAGTAATGAATATCGACTTCAAGATAGCAATTTCTCTGGTCTGAGAGGAAAATAGGATCTACAACCGGTAAACCTAATACGTAAAGCTTTATATCTTATGGTGCAGACAGCCATTAATTTACACTTTCTTTATATATCTCAAATTCATCATAAAAATTTTTTTAAAGTTCTTTTCCTTTTTACTACCTTGCAGTATCAAATTAACATTTCTTATTGATAAATGGAAAAATATTAAGGGCACAAATACTCACGTTGATCAATTGTAACTATTTCATTCATCTGTTGTTCCTGGCTTGCCAATACATCTGAAAAACATCCAAATTTTTTTTTTTCCATTAACTAAGCCCCAATCTAGTAAAACTTCACTTAATAAACTTGATCCTTTTAAAAAGAACTTCACAAAAAAATAAATAAATAAAAATAAATAAATAAAAAGAACGTCACAATTAAAGCAAAAACCAAACAAATAGAAAAGCAAAATACTAATGAAACTTACTGGCATAAAAACCTAAAAAAATACTTGATATTGACTTTATATATAAGGAAAAGATCTCTTTTACAGAAAAGTAACATAGGGAAAGCTCTAATTTCTTTTTAGTATTTAGAAAAAGTTATTCAGAGAACCTGGTTTTCTGAATATAAATATCTGTATCTAAGACATTTATCTATATAAAACCATGTAAAAATATTAAAACTTTCCAGATTAGATCAAAGAAATATTATATCAAACAAATTATTTAGGTAAACATTCTCTACTAAAAAGGTCTACCTCCTACAATCTCTTAAAATACACATCTTTGAATAAAACAGCTTTAAAACTTTATAATGCTTCTACTTAAAGACAGCTGTATTTTCAATAAAATTGTACCAGTTCCAAATGTTATAATTAAACTTGGTAATTTAACATGTCTACAAATACAGCTCTCAACATAAAGATTTTATTATAAAAGGTCTTAACATAAGCCTTTAAAGCAGTAATTTTCACCAGTGTGCCCTGAAAAGATCTTAAAGGTGCTGTGAACATTTTTAAAGATAGGCCAGGCGTTGTGGCTCACACCTGTATCTTAGCACTTTGGGAAGCTGAGGAGGGTAGATTGATTGAGCTCAGGAGTTTCAGACCAGACTGAGCAAGTGAGATCCTATCTCTAAAAATAGCCAGGCGTTGTGGCAGCGCCAATAGTCCCAGCTACTTGGGAGGCTGAGGCAAGAGGATCACTTGAGCCCAAGAGTTTGAAGTTGCTGTGAGGGATGATGCCATGAGAGTGACAAAATAAGACTGTCCCAAAGGAAAAAAAAAACTTTCTTTAAAGGTCATTATTTTCAGAAGAAATTCAAAGCACAATATATATATTTTTTTATTTTTTTAAATCAACATAATTGAAGTGTGCTATGGAAGTGTAACTATAGGTTCAAATGTGCTGTGAGATGAAAAAGGTTGAAAAACACTGCTTTATATAGTTCCTGCTTAAATGTTATTCTTCACCCCTCAAACAAGAACTGCACAACCCAGTGTCTATTACTTCAGCCTACTTTACGTCTCATAAACTATATCCTTTTCCCTTGAAATTGGAATTGTAACCTCCAGCAATCATTCTGGGTACTGAATGAGTCCTAGGGCCCGGGCCTCAAAAGAGATTCTAATAAAGATCCCTTGTCAGCATCCAGTTGTAGACACACAGAGTTAAAAAAGCCTGAGGAAGTAAAAAGAGGTCTGATGGGATCTTTCTTGGGTGCTCCAGAGTTTGGGGGCTTATAGAGGAATATCCTTAGAGAGACCTGGGTTCAGGTCTTAGCTCTATGATTATTCAACCTCTCTGAACATTAATTTAAACATTAATTTCTCCCTGTTTATATGAGATACCTAGACCTACTACTTCATTAGATTGTTGTAAAGATTAAAGAAAAATGTCTTTAAGAAGTACAGTGCGTGAAACAGTCAATTTTTCTATAAACTGAAGATGTTACTATTTTACTCAGACTCTTCTAACACTGCGCCTCTCTTGGAATAAAACAGAAAACAAAACCCACAATCCACAACTTTAATTATGGTAGATTCTCCTCAGAGTCAAGGTGCTATTGAATGGAAACTGTTCCATTTGTGACTAAATGAACAGAAGTGCCCCAGCTGCAAAAGAGAGCATCACCATCACACAGCACAGGCCTGGCTGTTTCCTGGGAACTCTCACAAACACAGAAGGAGAAGGATTCTTGAAAGCTTGGTCCAAGACCATATGGGCACTCTGGATATCATATTCCTCCTGCTGCCCCCCCCCCCCCCCCGCAATCCTTGCCAGGCACAAAGAATACAGATCAAAGAGGCAAAGCCTTGGGGCACCTGAAGTCATTTTATGAAGAAACATCAGACATTAAAGGTATAAAGCAATTCCTTTTCCTAAAGAAAACCCTTGACAAACTCAGACCTTTCTTTGACTCCAGTGACAGAAAACAGATATCCGTAGCAAGAAGTACACCACATAACTGGCAGTACTGGAACATTTTATGATTGTCTCTTCATGTATAATAAATAGCATACACAGTTGAGTTTCAAGGGGAACTATGGACAGGTGGGGACTTGGGGGGATAACCCAACACAAACATCTGAAGGAGGAGCTCTGCCTCTTCAGTACTGCTTCTTCTTGGATCAATGAGGATGAGCAGATAACAGTTGCTAGGTCAGTAACAGTTCTGCCCCAAGACCAGTACATTTCAGAGATATGCTGGAAACCTCCCTACAGAAGGAACCAGAGCTGGACTGTACTCAAAGGACCCTGTTCTGAGAAGTGAGACTTCTGAATTATAGAAAATCTGCCAGAAATAGCTTGATACATTATCTTGCCACTCCCCACATTCTGAACTAAGCATTAAATTCTCAAATCAGATGGAATTTCCCTGCCCGAGCACAGCAAAGAATCATAATTGGACTAGCAAGGAATTCCAAGAGACACTCCTCTAGGCTGTGGGGCTCTACTGCTTTTAAAAACAAAGCAACAGTTTCAGAACAGAACTCTTCTGCAAAGACTGATTCTACTGCACAGAAAGGGAAAAATACACAAGACTGCTTTGTTTTCTGTACTAAGAAAAGTCTATAAATGAGCTTTGAAGTTTGAGAAACAATGAATTTGGGAAAAGCTGTGAATCTAGAAAAAACTACAGTCCAAGCACTATCCTTGTTATACTGAGAATTCCTATAAGAAAAAATTTCAATAAACACAACTCATGCTAAGAACTTGAAACAATTCAAAATTTACCTTACTAAACTGAAAAACTCTTCAGAGAAGAAAATCTATGAAACCAAGGACAAACCAGGACACTCATCTATCTAATGAGAACTGAAACTGCAAATGCAACGAATGGATTACAGTCTTCAAGTGTCACAGACAATTTTAAAAATATTTGTTTAAGAGAATCTATACCTGGGTAAAACTATAGACATAAAGAATGAAAAGGGGTGGCGCCTGTGGCTCAAAGGAGTAGGGCACTGGCCCTGTATGCCAGAGGTGGTGGGTTCAAACCCAGGCCTGGCCAAAAATTGCAAAAAAAAAAAAAAAAAGAATGAAAAGCCTCTCTCCAGAGCCTGTTTCTTGTTCAACAGCAGAGCAGGTATCTTGGATAAAAACTGTAAGCATTAAATGACTATTTTCTACTTTTCTCAGTGCTACCTCTGAGCATAGAAGTGCACTTGAATTTTGAGGAGTAAAATAGAGTTAATGCAAACTATAGGAAATATTTTTCAGTTAGTTATTTGTTCGCATATAGATCATATATGGGAAAACTGAGGGACAATAAATAATAAAAGGAGCCTGGAGATCCAGCTTATTAGGAAACCAGAGTTCTCCCCTTGTTGGGTACATGGTATAGGAAAATGCTACTGGTTATATTTTTATCCACAACTGTTTAAAAAGCATTATCAGAGTTTGTCCTACTCATGTATTCTGAAAAATACATGGGTCTGGCTAGCATTTCTGACATACAAAACTATTAGGGAATGGGTTGCTGTTGCAGTGTTTTAATAGATGCCTTAATAGTCACTGAAATAATTTGCATTTATTTGAGTTCTTCTTTCTTGGATATTAAGCAGTTTCTAATTTCTTTACATATAAGGTCTGATAATTGAATTTGTAGAAAAAGTACTACATACCTCACTGCTGAATATCACTGCTGAATATGCCTACTGTCACCTTTGAAGTACTCCTGTTGGGAAGCTATCCTCCAACGCCAGTGCCTAATACATATTTCAAAATAATTTTGGGATTCTTTTTCTGGAATGACCATCAGAGCTAGTATCGTATGGCACACAAAACATACTATAATAAATGCCACTCAGCAAGATACTACCACATGTCAACATCACATAGCTGTGAGACACCAATATACCAAGATTATGAAACTTTACTGAATTGTTTGTACAGTGCTGCCAATGTAAGCCCATGGTGGCAAGTTCGTGAATACAACTGTCAGAACTCATACAAGGACAAGTCTGATGGCAATTCTAGAAAGAGTTCCAAAATTGCTTGGTAACTAGGTGCACTCTGAGAGACTGAGGTGGAAGCATCACTTCAGCCTAGGAGTTCGAGACTAGCTAAGCAAGAAGCTAACAATAGAAAAATCAGCCAGGTGTGGTGGTAGGCACCTCTAGTCCTGGCTTCTTGGGAGGCCAAGGAAGGAGAATCACTTAAACCCAAGAGTTAGAGATTGCTGTGAGCTAGGATGATGACAGTTTACTCTAACCTGGGCAACAGAATGCCTAAAAAAACCAGAATTGCTATGAAGGGTGGACTAGGCGCTGGCATCAGTGCATAGCTTTCCAAGGGGAGTATATCAAATACGACCATAGTGATACTCAGCAACGAGGTATGCAGCACTTTTTCTAGGATGAGTTGATGAACTTGTCAGACCTTATAGTTAATTATAATATCATTTATGCAGCCACAAGTTATCAGTGGAAACACTTTTAAATAGCAGCTTCCAATTTAAAATGGTAGTTGAACAATTACACTTCTTGCTATCTTAAGACCCTATTCAATAAAATTTTAGAAGATCTCATTAATAATAAAGACAATGGAAGGGAAGCCACCTGTGAATAAGTGATACTACATTTCTAGAAGATGAGCAATAAATGGAAGAACTGACTGATGAAACAGAAATCAACAACTAGAATATATAAAAAGGGCCAAATGTAGGGCACATTTGATTTAACAACTTGGACTCTAACATTGGCCTGGGCTGGATCCTAGCTTTGCTTCTCTCAAGGCCTGTAACTTTGCAGGTCTCTTACAGCCTCACTTTCCCATTTAAAAAATAAATAATGATCTGTGGCATTACTATAGGAATTAAACAAGCACAGCCTTATACAGTTAATTATTACTGATTAATAATTATTTGATTATTAGTAATGAATAACTAAGATAAAATAGTTTACAAAGAAATAAAATTAAGCTTAAGTTAGAATGTAAATTAATAATAACTCCAATTTTATACATTTTCGAAGAAGCTCCAGATGACTCCAGAGAATTTCTCCTCGAGGGACCCGCTGAAAAAAATCTTCTTGGCTGAGACTGCATAATTCTCTTCCAGAAATGTTGAGTGTGGTGAGGTCTATATCAGTCATGCTGAATTCCTTCATTACCCAAACCACCCAATGCAGGACTTGGTCTGTGGACCACTGTATGGGATCTAGAAAGAAAAATACTATCTTTAGCTTAAATATTACATGAATTTACAGTTAACTTGTCAACATACACCTTAGACATCATATGAATTTATAGTTAACTTGTCAATATGAATAATACACACAAATTTTTTCCCCAAGTAAACTCATGAAGTTAAAAAGATTTTTATGCTATATTTTTTCCTTAGCTCCTTTTCAATGTCTTAATCTATATAAATTTCTAATGGAGTCACCTAGTTCTAGTTGAATTAGTCTGGAGTTTTAGCAAGAAAAACAAAATGCAAAATTGCCCTCCAGTGAACCAAATGAAAAAAACAAATATCTGATTATTTTCTGGAGAGAACAAAGTAAACCATCCACGTTTTAAAAGTTATTTTGAAGCTATACTGAAAAAAATTATAAAGGAATTCTAGGGGCTAGCCTTTTTCTCCAAAATGTGAACAATGTAGTCTTTCCTCCACTTTCTTTTCAGCAAAAAGCTCATTGATCTTGCATCTATCCTTGTGGTGTAACTTCTAATAAACAAACATGCTAATTGCCTATTTATGCCTAATCAGGTGTCCCCATATAAGACATTAAGGTCTTAAACACAAGAACTGTGTCTTACAAAACATTCTATCTTCAAAATGTACCACAGTGCTTTGCACACACATTTGTTGAATCTGTAAAAAGCATATCTAAATACTTTCCTTTTTCCTATCATTTTTTACTATCTAATTGAATTCACAAATGAAAGATAGCCAACATGTATAAATATTGTATCATTATAACACTAGAGAAATTAATTTTGGTAATAGTATTCTTACTTTTTTTTTTTTCTTCAGTTTTTAACCAGGATTGGGTTTGAACCCACCACCTGTGGCATATGGGGCCAGTGCCCTACTCCTTTGAGCCACAGGTGACACCCAATAGTATTCTTACTTTAAGGAGATGATCTATACAAATAGTATAGTATTAGTTACATACCCAATAAATGAATGCTATTCAATAAAAATATAAGTACAAAAAAATACCAAACAGGTACTTATCAAGGGCCAATTTTCAGTGAAAATGCATGTAGGATTGACAACCACAGGATCTTTTTAAAAATTTTTCCCCGAAGAACTTAAGGGAGAAGGATTCTAGGAAGGTGGTGGTAAAGTTTTTAAATTTCTGTGAACATACACATAAAAACAAAAAAAGCAACTAGTAAGTAAAACCAAGAACTCATAGAAGTTCACATACAATGAAACAGATGACAAGACATCCTTACGGGCCCCAAATGTACATGAGTAAAGAAAAACAGTAGCTATAAGACTTCTGTGGTTTTAGCATCCTTACAGGAGAAGGCACAGGGACACTCTGAGCACAAGCAAATCTGAATAAAGCCAAGAAGCATGTGCTTAAAGCCCAACAGGGCAAGGTGAAAGCAACAGCTAAAAAGTAAGTGTGCCTAACCCAACAGCAGCTGAGTAAAAGGGTCCACGGTAAGGCCTAAAGGGCTGCCGCAATATACCACAGCCCCTGGGAGCTTTCCAAACTGAGCCACAATCACTGCAGGAGACGGGGGCCCACAGTAAGGAGGAACTGGCAGAAGTAGAATCAAAGTGAGCAGCCCAGGGACACTATGGAAAAGCAAAGAGAAGGCCCCCAGAAAAGTCGAGTAAGGGCACAGACAGGAACTGAGAAAATAACTGCCCTATTTATTGGTACTACTTGAAAACAACAGAAGAGGGTGTTCTATCAAGTTATAAAAGCTGAACCACAAATCCCTTTAAAAGTCTAAGAAAGCTAACTTTACATAAAAATAAACAGAAGCATCAAGATCAAAAAGTCAAGGAAAAATATAATTAGCTTGATTTATCTTCTCAAATAATATCAGGCCTTCTGGCTTAACATAACTAATTGGCTGTATATGTTCTTCCCTTTTCTCTAAGACCCTAGTAAAATAATAGTAATTTTTAAAAGATGTAAATTCATAGGGACATGGATAAAAAGTGACAGACGTGGAGGAGAGATTTCAACTAATATTTTCGAGATAATAAGCAGGGTGGCAATCTATCAGAGTAACGGAAACTATGACCTAAAATGTCTGCCAAGGAGGACACCAGGAGAGAATTCCTGTCTGCACAACCCTTTACTTGCTCGGGTCATGATGGTTCCAGGTAGCAGGACAGGTTTAAAGCTAAAAATGAGGAGATTAATTTATCAAGTATATATGGTGTGGTCAGATTGCTCCTTCATTCCTGGGAGCCAGTTAAGTGGGAGCATCCCACACATGGACACCAGGAACTTTACATGGAGATATGAAGCAAACACTTGAGAACACTTCCCAGTAATAAAGGTCTACAAAGTAAAGACTGAGACTCTCTCCACCTCTTCCTGTCCCAACTTCCTACCCACTTCCAGAATGCAGCCTTCACATTCACATCAATCCCAAAAGCTCACCCCAATCTTCTACTCCTGACAGATGCCTAGCCAATTCTCCAGAGAAGGTAAAATAACACAACAAAGAGATCTACTCATACTGAAACATTTGAAAATTTTTTAATGAAATGGCCAATACCTCATTTTACAATTTCTTTGGAACTTCAAACTAATTAGCTTTGAAGTGATTCACTCTTAAATGTGAACAGATGGGCAAGAATAACCAGATATTTGTGAGACTAAAAACAAACCACTAAAAACACAAAATAAACCCCCAAAAACCAGAATCCAGAAGCAGCAGAAATAGTGCAGTAACAAAGTTTTAAGTTTTAAAAAGACCATTATCATAAACATAGAGAGGTAAGAAAGAGCACAGTACTTATGATATAAACCAGAATGCAAAGGAAAGGAAGCCACTACAGCATTTTGCCAGGTATAAGGCACACTTTTTCACTAACATTATTAATGGAAAAATAAGGACATGCATTATACATAGATAGTACAACATGGGAGATGGGGAATCTAGTGGGCCTCCTGGGGCCACTGTGCCCTCCTGCCTGCTATACAGGGTTCTAGTCTGGGAGGATTCAGAATCCAATGAGAACAGGAAGGAGCAGCTCCACTAGGTGCCATAATCAGGAGAGGAAGCTGTGGTAGGGCTGGAGAGATGGGCTATGCAAAGGGGACAAGAAGCCCCAACATAAACTCCAGGGACCCACCTAGTTGCCCAGGGGCTGAGTAGTCTACAAAGCTCCCACCCGACTGGCACAGGCACGGCCATCTTGGCCATGGCCGACAGTGTGGCCGGGAGGAAAGAGTGAAGGGCAGCCTTCACGGAAAGGGGAGCTTCAGGAGGGTGGTATGACCTGTACATTTATCAGGGGAGTTTTGTCCAAACCAGATGTGTCTCTCTGGTTAAGAACAGGCCACATTCTCAAGGGGCATTTTCTTGAAATTTTCAGGCATTTTCCCAAAAATGTGGGTGTGCATGATACACAGCAAAATATAGTATGTCAAAGAGACACCTGCAATTTTATGTTTATTGTAGTATTCACAATTGCAAAGATATGGAATCTATCTAAGCATCCATCAACTGAGAAGTGGATAAAGAAAATGCAGTATAGGCAGTCCTCAGCTTACAAATGAGACAGGTTCTGTAGGTTTGTTTTTAAGCTGAATTTGCATGTAAGTCAGCACATTTCCCTATTACCTATAATAGCCTCTGTTCATAAGTGAGTTACACATAAGTTGGATGTTTGTAACTTGGGGACTGCTTATATAATATGCACCAATGGAATACTACTCAGCCACAAAAATGAATAAAATAATGTCTTTTGCAGCAATTTGGATGGAATTGGAGACCATGGTCCTATGTAAAGTAATATAAGAATAAAAAACCAAACACTGTATTAAGCAGGAACTAAAATATAGCTATGTGGAGCATATCAAGTAGTACAATGGACTACTGATATGGGAATACTGTATAAAGACTCTGAAGGGGTGAGGGTGGGAGGAGTAAGGGACGTAAACTACGTATCAGGTGTAATGTATTCTATTCAGGTGACAGGCACACTAAAATCCCAGACCTGCCACTATACAATTCATCCATGTAACTAAAAACCATGTGTACTCCTAAATCTATCAAAAGAAAAAACAAAAATCTTTCAGTGAAAGATTAATTGAAGGAAATAATAAGCATTACCAATACTAAAATAATTGCAATACATAAAAAGCTGTTCTGAAGACAAGAACAAACAGAGCCACAGGAAAGAATACAGAGGTTGAAAACATGCTCATGTATATAGACAGACTGTAATGAGATAACCAGCATTAATAGTATTGAATATATAGACTGCAGGAGTCACCTCCATCCATGGGAAAAGGGTTGGTAACACGGAATAGGATAAATGGAGTTCTTTACATAATATACCTGAATAAATTCAATACTGATTATACACTAAGAAACACCAATGGAATCTTACACAAATGAAAAAAAAAAAGAATGCTATGGAAAGGAATAAATAAAAATAAAGAGCCCTTCCAAATTAAAATTAAAAATCAGATGACTTATATACTATTAATATAAAGATAAGAAAATCTGGCAGAAGTTAGTTCAAAAAGACATAAAGTGATGATAAATGGGAAAGATAAGACACACAACATCAGCTGAGGAGATTCAACAGAAATTCCAGAAAGAAGAACACAGAAACATAAGACAATTATCAAAATAATTCAAGAAAAATGTCCCAAACTGAAGACTATATTATCTAGATCAGCACTATCCAATAGAAATATATATAATACAGATTATTACATAGTTCTAAATTTTCTAACAGCTACATTAAAATAGTAGGTTAAATTCATCTTAATAGTACATTTCATTTAACTTAATACATCCAAATGGTATTTCAACATATTAATATATAAAAATTAAAATATTGGGTATTTTACACTTATACTACATCTCAATTCTGACCAGGCATATTTCAAGTGCTCACATGTAATTAGTAGCTAACTTACTGAATAGTGCAGGAACAGAGTGAAATTCTGCACTATAAACCATGAATCTACAATGAATGAAAAAAATCCACAATGTCACTAAACCAAGATAAAGATCAAAAGAGAAGATCATAAAAGCTTCTAGAAAGAAAAATTTTAAAAAACAGGATAAATAGTAGCTAGAACCAGAAGGCCCCGGAACATCTCACACTATAACATAATGGAAAATAACATAGAAAAAGTTGTTTTTGATACAGAATCTCACTCTACTGCCCCAGGCTGGAGTCTCCTGGGGTGAGCCTAGCTCACAGTAACCCCGAACTCTTGGGTTCAAGTGACCCTCCTGCCTCAGTTCTCCAGTACAGCTGGGACTACAGGCACCTACCACAACACTCGGCTAATTTTTCCTATTTTTAGTACAGATGGGTCTCATCCTTGCTCAGGCCAGTCTGGAACTACTGAGCTCACGCGACTCACCTGCCTAAGCCTCCTAGAGCGCTAGGGTTACAGAAGGCGTAGCACCTTGCCTGAGACAGCAAAATTCTGAGGAAAATAAATTTTTAACCTTAATATTCTATACTTGAACTATCAGACAGCAGAATAAAGACAATTTTCAGATACATAAAGCTCAAAAGAAGAAAAAAAATTTTTCTCAGGTATCCTTTCTAGACAACCTATAGGGCCCTAGGCCACTATGATCCCTTTGAGACTGACAGCATGCTTCTTCTATACCAAAGGTTCTCAACCTGGGGGTCATGACCCCTTTGGGGGTCTCTTGCATATCACATATTTACATTATGATTCATAACAGCAGCAAAATTACAGTTATGAAGTAGCAACGAAAATAATTTTACAGCTGGGGGTCACCGCTACATAAGGAACTGTATTAAAGGGTCATGGCATTAGGAAGGTTGAGAATCACTGTTCTGTATGAATTATTGACAGCTTAAAAACATGTTACCTTTTATGTCAATTATTTCTTTTCATTCATCCTCTCTCTTCAACTATATTGTGAACACCTTAAAATGGATTTTAAAAAAATATCTTTCTATTTCCAGCACTTGGGATAGTAACTATCCATCACATGGACTTAAATGTGTATGTTACAGTTGAGGGGGAGGAGAAGAAGAGAGAAAGAGATAAAGAAAATTAACATTCTTCCTAAAAATTCTATATTTAACATAGATTATAGGCCAGGCATGGTGGTTCGTGCCTATAACCCTATAACATTCTGGGATGCTGAGGCAGGAGGACTGATTGAGCCTAGGAGTTCAAGATCAGCCTCAGCAAACTGAGGCTCTACTAAAAATAGAAAAAATTAGCTGGACAAGGTGGCACACACCTGTAATTCTAGCCATTTAGGAGGCTGAGGCAAGAGGATTGCTTGAGCCCAGGAGTTTGGGCCCAGGTTGCTGTGAGCTAGGCTGAGGCCACTCCACTTTAACCTGGCAACAGAGTGAGACTGTCTCAAAAAATACAGAAATTAATTAAAAAATGAAATAAATTAAATAGACTATAACTTTCTCAACCTAGTGTTTGCTGTCTACTAAGCTTAATTCTTATTATTCTACCTAACAAATAATTACGTATTTTATTACCATAGGGTATCCCAAGGCGCTCTTGCTCTTTCCTATAACCTTCTAGTGCAGCAGCCCATCTTGTCACTTGTTCTGAAGTTTCATCTGAAATGGTTGTGATGTGTTTTGTCCCATCAAGAGTTATGACTTGAGCCTCCTCAACGAGATGTGCTTCTGATTCAGCATGGTGAGCATCTGGATCAATCACTACTTCAACGGTGTCCGCAGGTTTAACAATTTCAAGGATGTTTAGCTTTGGCTCGATTCCTTAACAGTGGATTAAAAAAATAATAATATCTGTATTTATACACACACATATGTCCACATATATAAAAATCTAAATGAAAACACAAAAATTATGAAAAGAAAATTTTACTTTAGTTTGTATGTTCCCAAATGATAGAGAAAAACTACCTCGTAAGTATTTTTAGCAATATGTATAGAGAATTTAACCGCTCTCTAATTAATAATTAAACACCACAATAGAACTTTTGTAAGAATAGTATTGTGTCAATATCTATTTTCTAATTTTGATAACTATACTGTGATCAGATAAAAAAAAATCCTCATTTTTGGCTCGGCACCTGTGGCTCAAACGTCTAAGGTGCCAGCCATATACACCTAAGGTGGTGGGTTCGAATCCAGCCTGGGCCTGCCAAACAACAATAATGGCTGCAACCAAAAAATAGCTGGGCATTGTGGCGGGCGCCTGTGGTCCCAGCTACTTGGGAGGCTGAGGCAGGAGACTTGCTT